TATTTTAATAAAGTTATTATTTTTATTAAAAAAAACCATTAAAGTTAAAATATGGGCATACCGTTTTTTTAATTGGTATATTTTTTGTGTTAGGAAGCTTCTGCCCACAAATATTGTTTGACAGCTTAATCTTGGCTAGTGTGGTTTTAACCAAAACACTGATCAACTGAGTTCTGTTACTATATCTAGAAGAAAAAGGTATCCAAAATATTGCATTGAATGGACCTATCTAAGAGAGACATTAGTGTGTCATTATAATAGACTTGTTGTGTTATATACAACCATATAAAGATTCTTCCATATAATTGTCGTAGAACAGGCTCCTTAACTTCAAAACAAGCTACCTAAAACAGATTAGAGCTACATATCTGCCGCTATCTCCTAGCCTCAAGAAGACATTCTTACGATTTTAAAATTAAAAAACTGAACATCAAGATAATATTGTCAGAATTTCAAAGAAGGCAGAGCCAATGTTTTATCGAAGAGTTGACGAAATTATATCAAAAGATTAGAAAAGGAATAATATGCAACAAATTGTTCAACTGTGGCAATAATAAGACTCCAGTAGACTCCAATATTCTAAGCAGAAATGGGGAATAGAAGAGTGGAATAAAGTCTGCCTCGAATACAGAGATTGAGCAATAAGTAACAAATAAAGTAAGCAAGTGAAGTAAATTGGGGCTTTCGAACTTGATTTAAAGTTTATTACGTTTTAGCACAATTACGTTATATAACTGCGCCACATACATACATACTCGTATGTATGTTTAATAACTTATTTCTCTTCAGCAATTTTCCTGTCATGTTTAGGTTGGCACGTAATTGGGTGTTAATGGCCAATGGCCAGCTCTGCAATTTTTCTAGTTCACAAAATCTAGCGTTAATATCGATGTGCGATTTCGAAATTGAATTAAATGGCCATTAAGACTGAAAACTTGAACGAAGCAATCATTAAAAGAAAAAAAAAAAAACGTTTCCCAATTACGATTCCAATTAGTCACCCTGTATGAATTAATTATGTATGTAAGGGAATGTGTGTGTGTGTGTGAGTGTGTGTGTGTGCGTGTGCAGCCAAACAGCTGACAAATGGTTTTGTGCAAAAAAGAGAAGAAGAAGAAATTGTTGCTATCGTTTGTTTGTTTGATGAACATTGGCCGTGACCATGAAGCCACCAACACTGGTAATGGTAATGGCAATGCCGACTATATAGCTTGTGTGTGTGTGTATGTCTGAGTGTGTGTGTGTGTCTGTGTGTGTATGCGATGGTTGGGCTGCAATTTCGAATAAAGTGACATAATCTGCTGATGTTGGGTGTTCTCTGTTTGGGTTTTGGGCTTTGTAACTGCGCAATGGATTGACAATTTTATGGATTTTTGTACCACATTTGCATAAATGTGAGAAATGTTCCAAACAAAAAAAATAAATAAATAAATAAATATAGATGAATTCAAATAAAAATAGCCATCAGCAATCAGAGGCAGCAGCAGCAGCAGCCGCCACATGCGATTAAACATAATAATCAAAATGTAAATTCTGATGAAAACAGAAACTTGTTTAATTCGCACAAAAAACAAAAGCACATAGCACAACAAAAATTAAAATTAAAACAAAATCGGGCGGCAACGGGCAGAACATTCAGTTTTTGTGTCATACTGTGTTTGCCAGCCTTCTTTGAGTTTTTTTTTTTTTTTTTTTTGCCATATACTATGTATGTATGTGTATATATATATTTCGTTTCTTGGCTGGGTTAATTTATTTTGGCAACGTGAGCACGCGCGCGAGCTTTAGCAGTTAAAGTCGCAGTAGCTTAATTATAATTATGTTGAAGTTTTTTTTTTTGTAGGTGTCAACAGTTAAGTTTAAGACCGCGGCCTGCCCTGGTCTGGCCTGGCGCTTTTGTCGTTAAGGCATCGATTCAATAAATACAAAAATTTGCTGAGCCCACAACAAAAACAATAAAAATGTTGTCAAAAATAAAAATGGAAGCAAGCGAAATGTGAACAATAAAGTAAGCTACAAGGAAGAGAGTGCAACAAGTGTTTGTTTGAGGCCGAAGCCTTGCCCATATGCGCTGGACCGTGGACTGAGATTTAAACAAAATAAGCAGAAACGATAACTAAATACTGTTGTTTTTTTTTTTAACATTGTATTACAAACAATAATTTATATTGTTGAATTCTGTTTTCAAAAGAAACATGACATAAAGCTGTTTAAACAACGCATGATTTTCCAATTGTTAATAATTATAGCAATTAACAAACATTTCAGTCTATTCTTGGTGCTTTATTATTTGCTTTGCTTTTGGGAAATAGTCAATAGTATGGATAAATTGAAAGGAAATACCAGTTGTGGTTGTCTTACTGGTTACTTAATTAAATATCGAACAAATTGATCATATATTAATATTTTGATTTATTTTGAAAGTTTAAAACTAAAGCTTCACATATTAGAGAGTTACAAATGGATTATGAAAATTTTAGCTAAAATTCAATGTATTTTGAATTATATACATACATTTAAATAGATTAAGGAAATAGTAAACAATCTAACAAGGCCTTTCATGAGCTTAAAGAACAATGTTTATCTCAAGAAAGAAAGTCATTTTTATACCCATGGGTGTAGCGAAGGGAGTTAAAAGACGTGTAGCTGAATTCTAGAATTCGAATAAGAGCAAAATATTGTTGCCCATTATTGTATTAAAAATACAACCGTCATAAGTTGTCTTTATTTACTTAAAATAATTTGAATGATTTTTCTGAGTACTACCAGAACTAATATTTCTTATGGAATCACACTGTCAATAACTATCTACTTTTTTATGAAACCCAACTCATGGTTATTACAATTTCTCGATATAATTGATAGACCTTTTGAAACATTAAACACAACTACAGCAGAACATTCTTCGTTATTTTCAAGTCTATGTATTCCTGTTTCGATATAGATTTATAAAGAAAACAATATTAATATTCAACTGCGCAAATTTCTTAGATCGCAATCAAAGTTAAATATAGATGCATGTCACAGATTTCGAGCTCTTTAACTGGCTACTCAATATGTATTGTTCAACGTTGCAATTGAATTCTTGCCTCCATCTTAATGAGATGGTCGCCACGCGAGCGATTCTTTTTTAATGAAATGTATTTGTTTTCAGATTTATTTGTTGTAGATTTCAGATTTAACATTTAGAACGGATTATTGTTATATGATTTCAATTATTAAACGGGTATTTGGATAAAATTTCTGACTGATAAACGTTGTAAATGAAATTTAATGAAGATCCATGTGTCCAGATTGTGTTGATAGGTTAGGTGCATTATTAGATTAACATTTGAAGGCGACTATATCGAGATTTAATGTGCGAAACTGGTCTTGGAAATGACAGAGTTAGATTTATATCTTCCCATACATTAACCAACAGAACTTAACCTTCAAAACGTAGTTTTCAAGAGCTCCGCTCAACAAACATTTTGGCACCACAGTTGCTCGAAGTGCATCATCACCCCCAATGCGGTCAATGCACGTCGTTTTTTGTGGAAAATAAAGCGATAAACCGACTGACATTCACTTCGAAATTGTTTAAAATCGTATTACTGATATTTGCTTTATTACAAGCCAAAAAAATATATATTACATATATTTTTAAAACCGTCGTAAAAATCAACAAATAAGAATTAAAAATCAAGCGAAACATACAGCAACAACAAACCCAACTGCCAGTATGTGTGCGTGTGTTTGTGTGTGTGTGCGGCTCAATTACGCAATTTGTGTATGTGTGTGTGTGTGTGTGTAAGTGTGTGGCTGAGTGTGACGATGACGTCGCTGCCATTGCCGCTGCCGCTGTCGCTCTCTGCGTCAGCAGCACGCCCAGCTGATGTTGCTTTTTAATGATGATAATGAACTTGAGGCAAAATAATTGATAACAAAAGAAAATAATAATAAAGAGCTGGCGAATTTTTTTATTGTTACACACACACACACACACGCACCCACATGTGTGTATGTGTGTTTGTATGTGTGTTATTAATAAGTAATGATGGTAAAGTATTAATAAATAAATAAAAATTCAGCTGCAGCTTACATACTCGTATAAGAAACGGGAGCAGCAGCCGTGATATTCGAGCCTCAGGCTAATTGCAATTTAATGCGTTTGTTTGTCGAACGTGCGTTGTTGTTGTTATTGTTTTTGGTTATTATTGCTCCGTTGTTGCATGGAATATTTTGTTATTTTTATATTTATGAATAAATATGATATTCATGATGATTATTGCCAGAGCAAGTTAATAACCACTGTCTGGGTCTCTAAGCTGATATATATTTTCTTAAACAGAAATTATAATATCGAATTATTTTTAAGAAAAGCTGAAGCTAAACTCTAATATTCAACTGAAGCTGAATGAAAATAAAATAAAGCAATTTATGGAAACTGAAAGCTTTTTGATGAAAAATCAGAAGGCACAAAATAATCTTCAATTAAAGGATTGTTGGTAGATTTGTTTAAAGAGGATTGACGAGCTGATCAAAAAAGAGACAAGGACGAAATATATTTTGGACTCCCTGAATATTTATTTAAGTAGTTTTCTTTCACTGTAGGGGGTACCCCCTAAAGGATTCTTCAACATATAAATACCCGATCAGCTCATTTACTTCGATCATTTTAATATCAAGAAAAGTAAATGCTGTGCAACGCAGAGTTCTCCAAACTGTTTTCTTCGAGAATTAAAGGCAAGGAAATACGACTACTTTAAAAATCTTTAAACTCATATCTGCAAGAAAAGGCAAGGAGAATATTTATTTTCATATTTCAGGCTTCTTCAAGCGTTCCTTAAGCTCTTTTATTTAAAAAAAAACAACACGAATGATATTGAAGAGTTTTTTTAGCAGTTTTCTTCAGGAAAGAAAAGACAAGGACGGTATTGATTCACATTTACTTCATTATATAACTGAACACACATGCACATCTTATAATCTAAGTAATATATTTATTTACAAAATAATACCTTTTTTGTGGCAATGTTTTAAATCCAAAATTAGATCCTTAAGTCAATTGACTTGCGGCTTGTAAATTTGTTTGAGCATATTTGATATGCATTACAATTTATTCACAAAATTTACAAATAATTTCATAACAATTTGCAATTAACAAAAGTTGCGTCATCATATTCATTATATAATGACTATTTAAAGCACACAGATTAAGGGATTTGATTCCAAAAAAATTATATATAAACCTGCACACAATTCTGCTTAAAACGAACGAATTAGGTAATTTGAGGAGTTTCCGGAATTATTTATGATATGAACAAAATTCTACCAATTGTAAATTAAACAGAGTAATTATTTAATATTCATTTTATTTGTGCGTTGATTATTTGCTTTCTAAAGCTCTCTCCAAACACTATTTGTAATCAGCAAGCGCCTGCACACCGAAAACAATAGATGATTCTTTTCTTAATCAACGCCAGACATTGCACTTTTGCACTCGCTTCTAATTGTTGCTATTGTTGTGCGTGTGTACTTTAGTGTGTGCTTGTGTGTGTGTGTGTGAAATCAAATCGTTTTGTATATAGAACCGCATCCGTATCCGTTCATTAGAAATCTATGCCCATTACATAGTTTCTAACTATGCGCCAGACGGACCACGACCACGACCACACCGACGACAATAATCGACCGACTAACCAACCACACACGCGGCTCAGCTCAGCTCGATTCTGCTTCTGCTGCTGTTGTTGCTGCTGCTGCTGCTGCTGCGACAACTGCGACGCTTAGTCAAAGACTGAATGAATTGTGAGCCGCTGGCGAGTGTTTTACGCTCGTTGAGCGGCTACCACGACCACGTCCACGACGGCGACGACGACGACGGCGACAACGACGACGACGACGTTGGCGATGATGATGACGGCAGCAAAAGCGGCATCGATCGCGAGCGGCTTCGTCTCTTCTGGCTATCTAGCTAGCCAGCTAGCAGGCTTACTGGTGGGTCGGCACTTGATTTAATAAAGAACTTACCAATACCAGTAACAAGAACAACAATAACAACCACTGCAGCACCTAAGCACAAGAGACGGCTTGATCGATTGAGAGATCGCTCAATCGATCGATCGACCAACCGACCGACCGACCAGCTGTTCGAATCCGTTTTACTCGTATCTACCTCTTTGGTATAAATGTGTGTCCAAGAGTTTCTCACACATGTCTACGTCTATATGTATGCGAGCGTATGTGTGTATATATATGTGTTTGTGTGTGTGTGTGTGTGTGGGGTCTCCCGGCCGCAGGCGCTGACATTTGCGGCTGCTTCTGTTGAGCACGAAAACCACATTACACCAACACTTTAATTGCGGTGATGCACAGTGGTCCAGTCTGTAGTCCAACTACATCGAAAATTTGATCAATATTTAATAATATCAAAAATAAATAATAATAAATCGAGATAGTCCAATCAAATAAAATGCATTTTTTCTCTTGGGAATCAGTGCTTATCTCAGCCTAAGATATACATATCGATATAGATACAGAGATATTTCATTTCAATTACTAATTAAAATAAGCTTAATCGATTTATAAATTCTTCCAACCATATCAATACTGAGAACGTTTTTACGATGTCTAAATTTTCCCTTCTTGTTATCTTGGATAATTTGGAGTACTGTAATATTATTATATTGTTTAAATTCAGACCTGTTCAAATTCAAATAATATTTGAATTTACGGAATAAAAACCATCATTATAAGGCAATTTAAAATATTACAAAATTTGGATATCAAAAGTTTTTATCGTGTGTATTTTTAAATAAAACATTCAACTCTTTTTTTTTTTTGATTCGTATATTATTAAAAAGAGTTTTTCTTTATTACTATAAAAGCATATGAAATACGAACGACTATTTGTGAATCAAATAATATTTGAACTTCAGAAAACTTTAATAATTCCATTCTAAGGCCTTTTTCATGAATAAAAATTATATTTATCTTTGAAACCATTCTAATATATAACTATTATTTATATTGTGTGAGAAATAGTTGTATATGATAGTTATATAAGATAGTGAAAAATTGTTGTGCATCCAAATTATTCCTTTAAAAAATCAAATAATAATAATAACAATTGAACTGTTTGCTATTATTCTTATGTAATTTTAATTGATATTTCGTTAGGGGAGCTTCACCTACTTCATAAACTATTGGCAGCTAAAGAGAACTTAATAGTGTTCGTCTAAATATGCATTTATTAAATTTTCCATGCTCACAAAAGCTCAATGAAAGTTTGTTGAGAAACAATGCCCAAGGCAATGTTGTTGTTGTTGTTCCTGCTGTCGTCTATTAAAATGTTTACTTAGAGCAAATTTATGCAACACATTGCAGTGGCAGCAGCAGCGCGCCTACCTCAATGCTGCTTTAAGTAAGCGAGTTGTTGTTGTTGTTGCTGTTGCCGTTGCCGTTGCCGCCGCTGCTGGCGTCGCTGCCTTAGCGTGAGGTAGGTTGGTTAGCTAGCTGGCGGCTGCATAACAGGTTCATCTAGGCGACTGCGGCTGCGGCTACGGCTACGGCTGAGGCGACGCAATCAGCTGTGCCGTTGGTTGAATGTGTAGGCTGGGTTGCATGCTACAATGTTGCTGCTGCAACTGCTGCATGTCCGAGCGAGAGAGTTGGACTGGGTGGAGGAAGGGAGAGGGGCAGGGGCAGCACTGAGAGTGTGCGCGCTAATTGCCTTGATTGAGTTTTAAATTAATGCGAATTAGAGTTGCACTTGCTGTTGTTGTTTTAAGGCATACACGCACACATACATACATACATACATACATATGTACATTTATATGCTTATATAAATACGTATAAATGTATATATGTATGTACATATGTGTATGCATAAATTACGAAAACAGGATCACTTAACGGCTGCCTTGAAGGTGTAGGCCTTGGGGTAAGTGGGCAACGCTGTAGGCAATAGGCACTATATGTATGAGAGGAAGGCAAATTATGTGGGTCTTGGCGTGGGCAGTAAATAGCGTATTCTAATGGCAGTGATTCAGAAAGATTATCTAAAATGCTGGGCCGAAACTATTTATGGAATGAAGACTGTTAAAGACTAGATTAACAACTAGAGAAGAGCTGTGTTGGAAAATCTTGTAAAGATAACTTCCAACCTATCATCTAGTCTGTTGAAATGATTGTCGATTGTACCCGCTTCTCATTAATCTTCTAAAAAGAATGGGAAGTGTATAACAAAATCTACCGTAATAATCGTTATGGTCTTTCATTGACAACATTTTGTGGTTAAGAAAAAAAATAGCCATTTATACTTGTACTTGTCGGAAAAATTAGTCTACAGACAAATCATCATCTGAGCCTTATTACTTTCTTGATTAATTTTATTTAAACATTTATGAAGGATTTCTGCAAAGAGTATTTAAATTTATCCAAGCGTTTGAAGCTAGAAAAAACAACATCATTGCCAAAATATTTGTTTTAGTGTTCGATTTTGAAGATGTGCCTATGTTATATTAAAATCGTTCCACATTTTTAATTTTGCCAACTGCCACCATTATTCTGTAATTTTACAAAAGTAAAGTAAAGATAAAAAATTCCAACGAAACTTAAAACTCCTAAAATAAAAAAAGTGTCCCTATTTCTTAGATGACAACAAAAATGTGGCTTCTGGATTACAGTGTCTGCAATGGAAATGAAATCTAGATTCTAGTTGGCGCGTAGAAATTGCACTCCATGGGTATTCAGAAAACAATTATATATATTATAATCTCCTCTATCAGTATTTTTACGCGCTGACGCTATTTTTAATTGAACTTATTGTAAAGGTAAAGCTTAAAGGGTTCTTTGGAGTTCATACTGCATTTTATTAAACTCACCAAAAATTGTGTGTCAAATAGTTTGTTGGCTGTTTGAAGTTTTATTTTGTGTTTGTATAGATGTACTTTAATATAAAAAAATAAATTAGAGCCAAATTATTAACACTTTCATTCTCAAGGTAATCATTTTTTCCATTAGCAGTTGGCACTCACATCAACATAAATTACTTTATTTTATTTTATTTATAACTTCAGGGGATAAGATAAGATAAGCCTCTATTGTGACATGTCAATAGAATTATATTTAAAAGTTTTTCATACGAGTATAACCTGATTAATATCAATTACATATATTTTACTCTTTTGAATAAACTTTCAATTGACAAAATATGTCAAAGTTTAGTTGTTCTCTCTTCTTTTTTAAACTCCATGTGCATATGCCTATTCGATCGTTAAATTATGTTTTTAAATTAGTATCTTTCATTATAGCTGAATTTTATTAAAGCGTCTCGAGCTAATACTGTTTACTCAGAGCATTTATTATAAAAGCATGATGAATTGTTATCCAAAGTCGATAGTCATTTGAAATACTTAATTTATTTTCAAATCGTAATTTGAATTTCAATCAAATTAGACTTCTATATCATGCTTATAATATTAAGGTTGTTGAAGGAAAATAATTTGTATGTTCTTTGTGTTCGAAAAATAAAGATATTTTGAGCTTTAAATGATAAATATTTTTCAATAAAATATTTCATTGCGGCGAACAGATTTCCGTCGATATTTCAATAAAAATTCCGTACAATAAAAATTGTATTTTTAGCTAATTACTATCCATATTTGAACAACCTACATACTTACATATGTATAACGATAGTATATGCCTATGTGCATGGCAATTATAAATAACTGTTGGCCAGTCAAGTCTGCAAATTTTCATTACTGTTATATCGGTACATACGTACGTATACTTTATCCTGCCGATCAAGCCATACAACAGTAACAAAAACAAAGTCAACAACAAAATAAACAACCAATAGGTATAAAAACACAAGCAACATCTCGTGCAACAACTATGTTGAATTCTAAACATGAGATGAAGAAGTCTCTGATTAGTTACAACAGCGGACTTTTTTATCTGACCGGCTGGCTGGCTGGCTAACTGACTGACTGACTGAGTGAGTGAGTGACTGAATGACTGAATGCACGCGCATTGGCTTTGCATTATTAATTAAGTTTTA